CAGTTTCTGTATTGTAAATGAGTCAAAACCAGGGGCGGAAATGCAACGTTCCAGGATGACTGGAGGAAGGATCTAAAGACTCGACAGGCATGGATTATTTTTGTCTATCAGAAGATCCCTGCAAAGTTTGATGCTCAGCTGCTCATTTGCTCAAAGCATTTTACTGGAGACAGCTTTCAAAACCTTGAACAGTTCAAAGCAGGATTTGCTAAACTTCTTTTACTGAAACGAGGGGCTGTTTCCACCGTAAGGCCATCACAACCGCAAGCTGGAAGGATGGTTCTGTCGCTAAGCTGTTGATAGCAAAGCTAGCGTATCTATGGTGACCAGATTTGGGTTTCTGAAAAGGAGGACACTTCTTTTTTTGGAGGGGAGGGGGGCTGCTGGGCTGCTGCCTGGATCGGACCTCAGCAGAGAGGCATGAGCTGCTGGCCCTCAGCCGGAGGAGGGGGGCTGGGGGCCAGTAAGGAAGGTACGGGGAAACATGGGGCTGCCCGTGTCCAGGCTACCGTCACAGGGTCGGGTTCGGGCGCTCCGTCCCCCACTGGCTCCCTGCCGCCGTCCGCCAGGGTTCCCAGACCAGCCCTGGAGCTAACAGCCCGGTTCGAGTGACCGGTGTGTTTCCACTACGTGCTGCACTGTAGTCGACTAAAATCATAGACAATTTTGAAATTCCCACCGGACATTTTTTTAGGTATGAAAAGTAGGACATGTCCGAGAAAAAAAGGACGTCTGGTCACCCTACCATATCAACAATCTGATGTTTCAGTGAGTGAGTGCTCGCGCTATGATGCGTCTTTGCTCAGCAGCTTCGCTTGTTGTAAACCAACCAATCAGAGCACAGCTCATCGAAAGATTCATGATCAAACCATAAAAGGAAGAAAACCTGTCGTTTTATTCTAGGGCTTTTAACCAGGCTGCATTAGGGCTCATAGAACAGCTAATGTTACACACCCTATTCAGAGACCTGAAGGACCAGATACCCGATAGAAGCATTCTATCAACCCTTTAAGGACTATGATGAAAGAAAATATAGACACATTATGTTCTGCATCCAAGTCTAACTAACTAACTAACTAATCATTTTAGAAACCGAGTCAACGACACTGAATGATCAAAAAAACAGGAATTATAAAACAAGATTTCGTTATTTTAAAACATCAAAGGATTAAGGAGGCCATTAGAACAATTAGCTCAGCTAGCATGACTCAAACTGTCGTCTGTTTGTTTTCTAAAGAAAGAAATAGATAATTTTCTTCAACCTCAACCGTTCAAAATGTAGAATATTAAAAAATAAATGACATTCTTGCTCTCCTTCCTGTTATCTGCTTTGTATCCTGCTCTCTCTCCCAGAGCTTCAATGAACCACAAACATGTCTCAACAGGTCGCAAAAGCCAACTTTCCTTTCAAAGCCTTCCTTTCAATTAATTCTGAACCAATTAAACAGCTTGTTGACAGTGAGAGGAGCTAACCTTCACTTCATAATAGCATCCACACCAAAGAGTGTTGTTTGCACAAGCTGGAAGTTGGAGCAAGATGGATTTAGGAGTTACCAACACGTTCGCCACCAGTTAGTGATGGTCTAACTGAAACTGAACCGTTCTGGTCATTAGCCATCAGTCCAATCAGAGCAGTGATGATGCTTTAGCTAGTTTTAAGAAAAATTTCCTAATTCCTAAGAGAAATTACAAATGGTGGTAAATTCTGTGCAGTCGTTAAACAGGATAGGTACAATCTAAACAGGAAACTATTCCTTAATATTTATCTCTTTTAGAGCAGAATAAATGTCTGAATATAAATAATCAACAACTTTGTAAAATTATTTCCACCTGCTTTCGTACATGGAGCTTTATTAACATCATAAAGTAACATCAAACCACAGATGAGACAAATGTGGGGCAGCCGGACCTTTCGTACAACTTGGATGAAGTCCTTGGCGTTCTGGGGGCTGCGGCCCTGCAGCTGCCGCGTGCAGGCCTCCAAGGAAGACGCGTGGGCTACAATCAGCACGTTGTTTCCTACATAGAGCAGAACGTCAGAGCAGAAGCCATCAGGGCCGCACAGACACATGGGAACAATGAGAGCAGAGAGAGGCTAAAGCTACCAGAGGCTTTGCAGTCCGACAGGATGTCTTTGGTCACTTGGTAACTGCGACTCATGTAGTTCTCGTAGGACTCGGACACGGTCAGCTTGCTAACTGGGATCAGAGGTCTATACAGAGACAAACATCATCAGACAACAGATTCAGATATGTGAAGCTGTCTCTGGTGAGAAATGAAGCTGAAACATACTGTTTTATCTAATATGGTCACCATCAGCTCAGATACAGACGCACTTTCCGTCTGCAGTTCATGAAATAAAAAAACTGGTAGCTAGACATTTTACACCAAGACTCCAAGTCAAGTCTCAACTCTATCGCCACCTGCTGGAGGACATAGGGACCCACTTTTTCATCATTCTGCTTCATTCTATCTCTATTCTC